CACTTCTGACCAAAGGTATCCACTATGCTACATGGAAAAGTGTTCAGGATGAGATTGCCAGCCGTACAGTCACAGCAGCTAACGTATCCATGGCAGTTTACGTTACGTAATCAAAATCATCATTTTAATCGGCAACAGAGACAACTGCAATCGAAGCATAATGTTGTGCTGAGATCAGCAAATCATTTCAAAAATTGTTATTTCTCACCGATTCAATGTGTACTTGTTGAGGAGCAATAACGTTTTTGTGGACAGCGGTCACTCATTGTTAATTAAATATTCCTTTTGTTTTTTTAATTGTACGCCATCGAGCTCGTTTGTGAAAACATTGAAATGACCTCAGCGCTAATATTGCGATCGCAAGATCACTCTTCAACAACTGCATCCAGCGCAAGAATTTCATTTAATAATTTCGAGTGCTCCAAGAAAGGAAGGCAGTTCGTTCACTTGGCAGTGCCGGTACGAGATGTTTAAAATGTCATCGTTGACAGATGTGATTTGAAATTTGTCTTGTTTTTTCCTGCATGAAGACAACAAAAAAAAAATCAACAGGGCTTCATCATGCTTTTCTCGCTAACTGCCTGATTGTCGTTCCCCACCGCTGTAAAAACAAAGAGTCTCAGCTAAAGAAATAAAGTAGAGGAAAGAAGACTTTTGGCAAAACAAATTTTCCAAGCATGTGTTATCGAGCTCAGTTTACTGGTTTTGTGGGTCTGAGCATTTAAATTGGTCATAGACTGTTCAAATTTTTGTTCCTAAGGATAGAAAATCTGTGGACAAATTTGTGAAGCTGATGGTTTTTTGGCGTTGTTGTTGAAAGGCGAAGACCGCAGGAAGGCATGAATCAAAATGTCCAGTTCTTTTCTTTTTTTTTTGTCAGGAATCAGTAGCTACAGACACCCTTCTCGTTGCACTGTTTTTAAATACCAAAGTAACAATTTGTAGATTGACGTGCAATCGCGCCGTAGTGTAGTATGGTTGATGGATTAAGTCGAACAGCAGCGAATAAAACAGCATAGGTGGCTTTACGGGAAAATCACAAGACTGTACAAAAATAATATGATAAGAATTTACTCACGATGCAGTAGTAACAAATTAGGTTGCTCGGTTCTGCAGCAAGTTGCGCTGAGGATTCTTTAGTGAGCTTAGAAGGAAGCCACGATGGACTCGAAACTGCCAACTCTAGACGACCGGGAAGAAGACAATTCAGAAACCGAAGAGCGAGAAAAAAAGAACAAGAAGAACCGGAGAGAATATGTGGGTGTTTTTATATGTTGCTGCAAATAACACCTTGTCACCGTTCAACGGTCAAGTGTGAATTGTATTAAATCGTCGTGAGAAAAATCATATTTTTATTATGTACGATAGTAATCGCTGCATGGGAAAGAACTCCAATTTTACCGCCGGCGGTAAAAGAGGCGATAACATAAATAGAAAATGCCTATTTTACATAAAACGTACACTTTTAGCATTAAAAAAAACTTGTCGCCACTCGACAACGGGCACTCTTCTCTTAGCAGTAGTTTTA